GGACAATATCGTCTGCGAAGCGGTGATGGTTAAGATACTTCCCGTCGAACTTGATGCCTTTCTGATCCCATGATAGGCTTTTGAATGCATCCTCCATTTCTAGGGTGAATAACTTAAGGTGAAATTGTATCCCCCTGCCTGACACCTCGCTGTACTTGGACTTTTGCAGTAACCCATTCTTCTTCAATTTTTCCGTGAATGGTGACATGTTCGTATGATATATCGTATGATGTTCGAGTATCTGTAATCTATGCGAGCGTTATTCATCGCCTCCAGCACCGCCAAGGTTTCGATTGAATCGAAAGCCTTCTAATAGTCGACGAAGGCCATGTGCAGTGGGATATTGTATTCCGTGCATTTTTCCACTAATGTGCGTACCGCTTGCATATGATCAGTCGTGCTGTACCCCTTTCTGAATCCCGCCTATTCGACTGGCTGGTAAAAGTCAAATATATTGCTCAGGCGGTTCGTTATTCTTTTAGTTAGTAGTTTGTAGAGGATGGATAGCAGACTGATGGGCCTGAAATTCTCGAGATTTGTGCAGTCGCCTTTTTTAAATAATAGGATAACTTCTGCAATCTTCCCAGAGTCCGGGATTTTCTCTTTTTCTAGACATTTATTTAGTAAGGTCAGGAGTGCTTTCCTTAGTGTCTCTCCTCCGGCTTTCAACATCTCACTGGTGATCTGGTCTTCTCCCAGGGCTTTGCAGTTCTTCAGGTGTTTAGGCGCTGCCTCTAGTTCTTCTTCATCAATGGGCTCTAGTTCTTCTGATCCTATGTTTAGGAGTGGCTAATGAATTTGACTTTTTGACCTGAGTATGCCACCGATCGGCTGTAGAGTCGTCGATAAAAATTCTCAATAATTTCTGCGATCTTTTCCCTTTCATTCACAATGACTCCTTGATCGTTTTTCATCTTGTGGATAATCATTTTACCGTTAGATCTCTCGGAACGGCGAACTCTCATGTTTGCGTTATTCTGTATGGCTTCCTCGACCATTCTCGTATTATAAGCTCTCTGATCTTTTCTGATGGCCTTCTTCACGATCTTATTTAGGTCCCCATACCTCGATGAGTTTTTCTCAGTGTTCCTCCATTCTTCGATGAGTTGTTACGTTTCTAATCTGAATTTCGGATGTTTCTTACTTTGGAGAGAACAGACTTTTCGCACTGCGTTTCTAATACTAGAGGTGATCTCCGTTGAGAGTGCGTTTAGTTCTATGTTTCGCATATCTTCAATTGGGTGTAGCTTCTTGTCAATTTGCCTGTTGAATTCTTCCTCCCTCTCTCGCAGTTCACCTATGGTTGGCCGTATCTTTCTTTCTTCTGAAGCTTTTCTCTGATGTCGAGTATTGACGTAGATTCTGGCTCTTACCAATCTGTGGCCGCTGCCTGTGTCAAAGCGGTTTAGTACTGAAACGTCCGAGGGACTGTTAACAACGCTGATACCTTTTCCAGGCGACTAAGCCTATAGTTCAAAGCAAGCACTTTCTCGACATTGGTCAGCGTTCGCATAGCTTTGGAAGTGATCAATCAGAACATAATGTGATCGGTACATTTTTGAACCTTAAGGAAACTGGTAATAGATCACAAAGAAGAAAATCCGGCAGCGAAGAAAGGAAAACCGCGATCAAGGAGAACCGTGAGATACCTACAATTACTGCTGATCCAGAAGGTCGATATTATTCTTCAAGCATTCGCAAATAAGGCGGCTGGCAGCATGGCAGTTAACAGAGAATACGTAGTCATTCTTCTAGTTTTCGCGGGACGATATCAGTCCTTGGGAATAAGAACTTGGCGGGCGTTAGGGTAGACTGGAAGGACAGAAAAGCCTACTGGAAAGGATTCATTTGACCAGCATGGATGTTAAGTATGTGTATACATGGGGTGAGGCGATTATAAAGATGATCGAGAATCTAGATCATTATTCCCAAAGACATGGTACTAAGAACCCCGAAATGCATGCGAAGAGGCCGCCGATATTGTTAACGGTTACGACCCAAACAACAAGAACAATGATTCTAGAGATCGGGAAATATGTCAAAAAATGTTTTTGCATATAAAGCGCGTAGTATGTGAGTCATGAGTAACTTTGAATAAAATAATTTTTATATAAAGTTGTAGTTGTAGTGAACTTTGTAGAGTCCATAATTCGTTCAATGAAAGTTTTTATTAGTAGTGAGTGAAGCGAGCTTTAGTGGACCCGCAGAAATCGTGACAATATTAAAGATGTATGCATTGCATGTATAGAACGGAATAACGGGAAAGAGCATGACCCAAATTTTGTACAAGCAAATTAACAAATAATATACAATGTCTTTTCAAATAAGTTTATGATGATCTCCGCAAGGAAAAAAGTTGTTTTTAATGTGGAAAAACTTAGTTTATTTGTTTTAAAAATTCAATGAATGCATTTTCCACTTGTCTTCTGTAGTATGTTTTTCTTTTATTTAGAATTCAAACTAACGTCTCCCTCATCCAGAACCCAACGATGATGGTTACCTCTAAACAAATGCAATGGGACTTTTTTCTTTCTTCTTAATTTGGATTATAAAAAGATCTAAAAATGGCCTATTTTAAAACTTTGGCGGATCTGCATAAAATATATCCAGTGGCGTAGCAAGGTCCACATGGGCCCGAGCGCAAACCTTTTGATAGGCCCCGCCCCAAACAAAAAAAAAGTAAAAAATTGTGGAGCGTCGGACCTTCTCCAAAGTCAAGTGATTTTTGTCCAACAAATTTGATGTTATGTCGTTATTGTAATATAGAAAACAGTCGATTGGAATTAAAACTACACGTATTGTCCCTCGTTTTTATTCTGAAACTTTCCGTATGAGGACTGAGGAGCGAGGGGGTGAAGCATATAGCAAAAACAGGTGTGACGTCAGGTGATCATAGGCGTTTTAACGTAGGGTGCCACCTCACATTCCTTTGGAGTATCAGATTGAAAACTACGGACTGTATCGCCTTCCTTAGGGATGTCGGAACGACAATTTCACGAAGAGCCAGCGCGAAAATGTTCCAACGCTCAGGCTGAAGATATGAAAAAAATTGTCCGACTTGGTTTTATGAAGCCGCTCAAGGGACCTTATTGGAGCAGCGTTCTCAGGAGAACGAGTGTTCCTTATTTCTCAATGATATGCAACTGATAGTGTAAGTAACAAAAGACGGAACACTCGTTCTTCTGGGAACGCTGCTCCCCTGTTTTAAGAATATAAGTACCCAGGAAGTTTGACGTGTACATTACTTAAATAATAAAATACCTTGATCAAATACGTTGCGTCGATGTCCGAAACAAAATTGAACTTGTTCGACCGTTTGTACAATGCGGCCATGCGTTGGGTGTAGGGCGCTTTCGGCCATACGCGGTCGCGTGACGTCTTGCCGACCGAGAGCCGAGAAGATAGCATGGAATGCAAAACGGAAACACAATAAGCTTAGTTCATATACTTGCGAATCGCGCATTGCGGAAAGCGAATAATGATCCTATTTGTCGATTTTAAATGTTAAGCGGTGGGAAGCCAAATCAACCAACAGGATCATTATTCGCTTTCTACAATCCGCGATTCGCAAGTATATGAACTAAGCTTTATTGAGGAATTTTTGCAGATTTTTTTGATTTTAAGGAAGGGGCCCTGCAGGGCCCCCTATGTTCCGGGGCCCCAGCGCTTTGCACTCCCCCGCTCTTCGATAGCTACGCCACTGAATATATCTTTAATTGCCCCATGCTGCCTCATTTGCAATTTTTCTACTTTTTTAACTATTTGGAAACAAGAATACCGTTCGACTTCGTGTCATTCAGTCCTATATTCGAGCACTTACAGCCATGCCTTTCAGCGATTCGTTCTACGTCAGATTATGTATTTGGATGCTAACGGTTTTTAGTGAGAAAAATCATCGAGATCGTTTTGGTTAATAATTTATTTCTCTTTCGTTTTGCCACTTTCAAGTTCTCTTTAAATTATTTACGACGATTTATCATGTTCGTTGAAAATATGAGCACAAAAGAATTAAAAGTTATTTTTCTTTGCTATCCCTGCCAAAGATGTGTTCCATCCATCTTAGTCTCATTAGTCCGGCTACAAATAGCAAAGAGAAGGTGAAAGCACAAGCAAACGAAACGAAGGTTGACCTCTGACCGTATTTTGGCCATATGGACTTAAAATTATGACTTAATAGGAGTCTATTATATGAGAAAAATTACAATAGACAATTTCCAACAATAAAAACAGTTTCTTTCCACTGATGAAAAAGAATCATTGAAGCCATATGGTCAAATACAAATTCTTACAGAACAACCTTACATGGAAGGAAAATTTTCAATCAGTTGAATTATTACACAGGGTTATCTTGGGCTGACAGTTTTTCGGTATTATTTACTTGTATCAAACAAATGTTGGCACGGTCTCACTAGAGTAAAATCGAAAGTATAACCTGCACTCCGACAAATTTACTGACCTGAATTCGGGCCGATTTGAGAAGGTGAACGAACACTTTCGATTTCGTACTCGACCACATTATCACTTTTCGGGTCGGTAATAATTAATAATATTACGTGGCATTAAATCATCAGCAAATTATGTATAAGTATTAGTTCCTCTCAAAGCAATTGATTGGAATTTAGTTAAGGTTTCTGCTGTCAACTTGATCACTCGAACAGTGAAGTACATCCTGTATACAGAATTTCGTAAAAAAGCATGTCGCAAGTCTATTTTGCTTCAAGGCGAACCACAACTTGGTACTTATTAGTTTCAATACTATTTACTGCAGTGAAATAGATAAAATATAATACCGTAGGTAATTTTAATAGAGTTTTACTGCATAAATATCATAACTTTCTGAATAGTTTCTCGATGAACAATATATTTCATAAAATACTACATACGCAAATAATTTCTGTGTTTTTAAGCTGTTCAGTATGATAAAGCAATGAAAATAAATTTTTAAATTAGATTCGAAGTCAACTTCGCAAATTTGTATATAGTATAGTTTTTCTTTCCAGATTATGTCTTCATTATTTGTCTACTCCTTCCTCGTTTTTCTCTCTTGCGCTGCTTCACAATCCAACTACGCTGACCAAGCCAATAACGTCGAATACAATGGTGATGGACTACCACCTGAAGCCACCTTGGATGGGAAGGTCACAAAATTGGACGATCTCAGCCCAGTGATATTCCTCAACAGGACAAAGGCCGCTCTAAATTGTGCTGCCGGATCTATGCTGGTAGGAAATTAAGACCAACTAACCCCAATTTAATATTAATAATTGCATTTTTTCACTTCTTAGGTTGAATTAAAGTTCAATGATGCATTCCATGGTATTGCTTATGCAGATTTTGATAGAAACTCGGCGTGTCAAGTTACTGGCAGAGGTGATCATAGCTACAAACTCGAATTACCTCTGAAGGGCTGCGGTACAAGACAGGTAAACATTTTTTTTTCTTGAAAGGTATAACAAGGGTCTGAAAAGCGTTCCCTAACTACTGGGACACATACATAAAACTTTGATTTACATTTCAAATAGAGCAAAAAACGTAAATGTTCGGACCCTTTTGCGGCATCTTACTGTGTCAGAGCAATACAAACTCATAGTATGAGTATTAGCAGTGTGTTTGACCATTGATACAAAGATAATTTCCAACAACTTTGTTCAATTTATTGCCGTCAAATAAAGGTTTTTTTTTTTTTCGAAAACCTCGTAATAGGAAACTTAGGGCACCTTTTCTCCTTTGTGGATGTTAGAGCTTTCGTTAAATGGTCCCAAATTGTCCATTTTGATAAACCATTTCTTTTTAGGATCCGCAAAGAGTTTTTACTAACAACATTGTAGTGAGGTTTCATCCTAATTTAGAAATGGATGGAGACGAAATTATTACTATTGTATGTAGGTATCCTCCTCCGATAGCTCCAGTACCTCCAATACCACTGCCAATGTAAGTATTACAACAGATATTTAATTTAAGCAAGTATTCTTAATTTATTCTAAAAGAAAATTTCGCGATTTATATTGTTGTTTCTTTAAGGCCACAAAAATAAATATTGTAAATAAGTAGGTAACGAAACTAATCCTAGACGAGATTTTCATATATCTTTTCCGAATTGAGAATGGCCTTTTCTCCTGAATACATTGTAGATTCACTAGGGGCCGAATTTATAGTCATTCCTTGAATCTTCCTTGGAGTCGCGAGTTTAGAATGGACACTTGCTACTATTTGACGAGTTAGTCATGTCAATTCTAAACGTTCAAAAATTCCTTAAGGTCTGAAGAAACCTCAAGGATCGACTATAAATTCGGCCCTAAGTCATATTGAAAATTATTACATCGTAAAAAAAACACTGTATGTCTGAAAAATATATTTGATTTTAAATTTCATTTTCAAGTCAAGAAGCAGCAGTACCAGTGGCTGCCTTAGAACCACCATTGAAAGGTTTCCAAATCTTGCTTATAATATGCGGAATCCTGTTCCTTTCCTTGTTGCTTCTTGGTTTAGGATGCTCATACTATTGCCTAAGAAGAAGACCAGTTACCTTCATTCGACCATTCTCGAGTATCGGTAGCGATTCGGAAATTACCAAATTATCTGGCAGCTCACTTGGTAAGACTTTTTTAAAACTCTTAAATATTATTTTAAAGAATATTAACGTCGATAACATCTATGGCGAATAATGAAGATATTAACTCGGAAGATCCAAGCCTGAGCCCTAGATTTAACATCTCACTCGTAGATGGAATCATTTAACAGCTGCTTATACTTTGCTTATAGTCCGGTTGCCAAACCATATATTTTATGTCAACCTAAAATTATGATATTAAGTTTTTTTATTTCTGAATTGGTAAAAGAACATATTGGGCTGAAAGAAAATTAATGATGACATCCCGTCACCTTTGGGTAACTCGATATATTCACCATCGTGGCCAATATGGTTGCTATAATTACTTTAATTCAATGTTTCTACATGACTCATATTTTAAAAAATATCTTCTGTAAACTTTTTCTTGAGGAACGTTTACATTTCAAGTGAGAGAGGATTTAAGACTTCGGTTGTCTTTATACTTTGTGTTTCATAACGTTTCTATTGCTCAAGGATCTAAAACTAGGCCTTCTCGGAAACGCTGATCCCATTAATCGGATCAGCGACAAATGGCAGGTGTAGATAGTGAAGCAATCGAAACGCTATAAATACCAAAAAATAAAAACGATGGAAGTCCTAAAGAATCTTTCACTTGAAGTATATGTTGTTTTATAATTTTTTAAGAATTCAATGCGGCCACAATGGGAGAAGAAAAGTGTTTTTTTGAATGGAAATTTAAGTGCAGTGGACGCAGTGAACCCCTTTCGTCCGCGGGTGCTCAGCGAATAAAGACTATTATAACATGTAGCATACAATACGGTGATAAAAAATGTATGGAACTGGAGAAGAAAGTACAAGATGATCATGACTTCACCATAAAGTGTCACAAGAGTTGTGTTTCAACCAATGACATCAAAACACAGATAGACCGAACAATAAACAAAATTTTCGTATGACAACATCTCTCTGTCTCTTTTGGGTCTTTGTGCTATCCCCACCACTGAGAATGCCAAATTTTGTCTTGAATCCCTAAATAATATATTTTTCTCCTCTAATTAACATTTTCAATTTTATTTCTGAACTCAATTTGGCAACAGCAGAATATAGCAAAACACCGCCCAGAAGCGGCTTGTTGAATGGCAGGCAGGTGTTGATTGTAGTAGCTAGCTATCTTTATTGCAAACAGGGATTATTCATTAGCGTTAAATAAGAAACGACTAACACGATATTGGTACTCCCAGAATAAAGGGCTCGTATCGAATATTTTCAGTTTTTTTGTCAATTTGTTATTTTATTTATTCATCCAATTTTTAGAGATATATTCACGTGTGGGCGGGGTTTTTTACACCATTTTGAGCAATGATGTCTCCCTACCCCGACCCCGCGAGCAACTCACCTCCCCTGGCCCACGGGTGGTCTTGTCAACACAACAAATAATAGTTTATGAATGGGATGATCCGTCTATCTGTGTTTTGATGTCATTGGTTTCAACCTACACATCTAAAACACTTCATTTGAAAAGAGCAATGCTGTCGACTAGATCAGCTATTCCTCCCATCCAAAGAAACAACGCAGGTCTAAAACAATGGTGTTTGAATTCCAATGCATTTTCTGTGCAGGAAATTGTTATTTGGAGAAGGATCCGAGACACCCTGTAAGATGGAGACCAGCATATACACTTTCATCAACTAGAAACAAAAAACAAGTCAGTGATACTAGAAACGATAGCTGGGCCGCCGAAGTTCCACTCCGGTTATCTGGCATGGTTAGTGACCTAAACGCTGCTGACGTCAAATAACATGTGAATTGCCGAAATAAATTCATGAGTACCAGAAATGTTGAAGATGCTTAACGGAAGACTCGAGAAAAAGAAGCTGGAGGTGCAGATATAACATTCATTGAAACTGTAAGAGCATTTTCAGCAGATAAAGAACGTATTTGGAACTCTGTAGAAGTACACAAACTATACACTAATAATGGTGGAGATAGCAGATCAAATTTGATAAAAGCACTAAAAAAGCAATTTCGTGATCTAGTTGTGCTGTCTGCGCCAGGTTTTGCTCACATCATCACTTTTCCAAAAAAAGCAGTATCAATGTTAAGATTATGTCCGGATGACGGTGATGATGAACTAAATGCTGCTATTTTTAAAGTGACAAAACAAAAAATAATACTAAAGAAAATTATAGCTTACAACGTCTTAGTACAAACCAGCAAGACCCTAAGGCACTTGTGTGGAGCACTATCAAATAACTGGATAAGACTCTACCAGGATGTATAGTGTCAGCAACCCTATCTGAAATACTCACAGATTGCTTTAGGTATAAAGCTTCGATATTCAAGAGAAGTGGTCAACTTATTGAATAAGTTCCATATATCATGTACTTATGATCAAGTTTACGCTTCAAGAAGTCAGCAGCCCATGAGGTTGCAAACAAATTAAATGTGATCTCTCAGGGATTTTAGTTGATAGATCTAATGAAACGTTCACTCAGATTGTTGTAGACAATTTTGATACTAAAATATCTTCGCAAAATAGAAAAACGTGTATACATTCACTAGCTGTTCTAGTTGCATAAACGAAACCAGAAAGTGAAAACTGTAGTTCAAGTACAGCTTCCAGCACTACTCAGTGTAACATCAGAAGATTGAAGAAGAATGATATGCAACGTAACATAGATTATATAAGACACCAATAGTGAGGTACCATGGAAAAGAAAAGCCACCCATGCCCAATAATTCAGCATTGAGATGATCTTTAGCTTTGTTTTGGTTCGAAACTTGGAACGGTTCTGGAATTGCGCAGAACTGCTTGCGCACAAAAAATAATAGAGGACTGTTCTAATACTAGTTCTGAACCAATTCGGAACCAAAAAAACCAAAACACAAAATTCTAAAACAGTTCCTCCTTCAGAGCAAGAACTGAGAGAACCGTTCTAGAACAATCCCAGAATTGTTCTCAAAAAGTTCTAGATAAACCAAAACACTGTCAACACAGTTCGATTACGATTCTGAAAAAACCAAAACGCGTTTTGTAATATGCGCATGTTCAGGATGATTCCGAACTAGTTCTGAGTGAAACCAAAACAAAGCTTTTGTCTTTAAAAGTTTTGTGTCGTACTTCTATCAATTCAAAAAATAGAAGAGATAGATTTTAAGTTTCAAAAAAACATTATTTATGACCAAAAGTGTCCAGAGTTCAATACAAAAGTTATCCGTGAAAATGGTTGCCAGCTGAAAGCTGCGATAACCGCAGTGTACAGGCCATTGAATGGCATGACACCATCGCATCCTGATACTATAATGATTGCTTTGGTTGAAGCTCAATATCTAACAGCACAGGCTGGTCAGGAAATGGCAGTTTTTACGTGCGATCAACAATTGTATAGAATTGCACTTCACATTCAGTGGGCTTATCGTAATAAATTCAGCGATGTTGTAATACGGCTAGGTGGTATGCATCTTTTGATGAGTTTTGTTGATTCAATCGGAACACTTATGTTTAACAGTGGTTTGGAAGAAGTAATGGACGGCTATTATGGGGGAGTTAAAAAAATGCTCACAGGAAAAAAGTTTCCGCAAAATGTGCGAGCATCACGACTGGTTACTAAGGAGGCATTGAGAACTAGATTTGAGACTACACATATAACAGACTCTGCAGATCTGCTATCCAAACTTCATGAATTAGGTGGACAAAGCAAGACAGCTAAGCTATGAGTTGATGTACTGATAAAGCCAGTCTTTCTAATGATGAAATATGTGAGGGCTGAAAGGAAGGGAGATTGGCCATTACACATAGAAACAGTGAAACAAATAAGGCCTCACTTTTTCGCTGCTGCACACACTAATTATGCTCGTTACGGTCTTTCACATCTGCTGAAAGACTACCTGCATCTACCTTAAAGCATTTCCTTGATGGCAATTATGTATTACGTCATAATCCTGGTTTGTGAAACAGTAGGTATATGGAGCGATATGTGGATAGAGACAACATTCAAGGTGGAATAATAGGTATTACTCTAAGATCGGAAACCTTGAAAACCTGGACCTTAAGCTTGCACATATGTTGACAACTAGAGCAATAATGTGATACAAACGATGCACAAAGAAGAAATGCAGTCTAGAATTGCTTCAGATGCAAAAGACAAGTAACGACTCTTTATTGACCCATTGGCTTATGGTACCCACTCATACAATATAGTAAACATATCATCGGGCGTGGTGCTACCAAATACTATTGATGTACACGACGCTGTTAACATTGGAACTGAACAAATGAAAAAATTCGCAGAAGGTTGGCTATCGAGTTTTTATTTGACTATATCTATATTAGTAGGTAACCGGATGTACAGCAAAGAAACACGTAAAATTTGACAGTCTAAAGATGTTCGATACTGGCATTATTTACTCCTGAGTTATAGGACTTCAGGCAAGCTCACGACAAGTAGCTTTCAGTGAAGTTCTCTCTCATGAACTTTCACCTGTACCTACCTCAATGTTTACAGATTCTGGAGATATGAGGATCTGCAAATCTGAATCGAGCTCAAAGAGACACCTCCAGGTTTCTTGCTCAATAAGAAATAATTGTGTAGAGAACACAGTTATCGTTATTGATGCGTCTGAACTTCAATGGTGTATACAGTGGCCAGAAAAGGGGACTGTAGATGACTTCATAAAGGCAGTGAAAGCATCTATAAGCATACATTTGCAGCATGGAAATTTATACCTTGTTTCCGATCGGTACAATGAGTACAGCACTAATAGTTTAAGAGCCCAGAGCTGCCAGACACAACTTATTTTCTAAAGGACAGAATATGTGGGATTGAGTAGCACTTATAGGTACTATGAACGTATGTATATTCGCTAAGTTGGGTAGACGGCCAATTGACTGTTATTTGTAAATAACGGTTTTTCCTATTGTGCGAAAAACCGAATCCCATTTCCACTCTAGCCTGGAGTAGACTGTAAGTTTAAGAGGGGGAAATAGATATCTCGCTCACTCTCAAAGGCATGCATAGAACCCTCGCGCTCACACTCCCGGAAAAATTATTTTGCGTCTGGGGGGATGCTTGGCCGGTGCGATTGGTCTGGCTGAGCACACGTAGTCTCCCCAATACCATATATAAAAATCGAGCGTTAGAAAAAAAGTTAAAAGCTTTCTTCAGCTTTCGCACCTGGTGATGGTAAATTGGCCGTCTACCCAACTTACATACGTTCATAGTACATATAAGTGCTACACAATCCCACATATTCTGTCCTTTAGAAAATAAGTTGTGTCTGGCGGCTCTGGGCTCTTGGACTATAAAGACTGCACAAGGTCAAGTAGATCTACAAGAGTAACCAGAGTTCGCGTATAATCACATATAAAACACCTCTTCCCTCAAAGAAAGAAATTTCAAGCTCGAATGAAAATAAGAAGCAATTGATTAGACTTATTTGCAGTAGCATTATTAGCGACGAATCGTTTAAAAAAAAAACAGACTAGCAAATACAGGCTAACTTTGACAGGCCCAGAAAAAGCACCCTACGAGATTTATCGTAAAGAGGTGGCATGACCTAATACCCACGAAGAAGCTGATACGATTCTTGTACAGCAAGTTTTTCTAGCTGCTGATGATGGAGCCGAGCAGGTTGTAGTCATATCAGATGACACAGATGTTTTTCTGTAACTTAAGAAGACACCTGCAACAATTTTAATGGAATCCCCTGTCCAGGGTCGTACAAGAATTGATATTGGAGCGTTTGTTATTAAACAGGAGAATATAATATCTGATGTGCTAGCGCTTCATACTATTACTGGCTGTGATACCACGTCCATGTGTTATGGCATTGGGAAGATGAAATCCATTAATGTTTAAAAAAAGACACTCCCTGTCATTGGTTGGAGATCTACACGCTGATCTATGTGATATGAAACGGCAAGCATATGCATTTATGGCTGCATGTTACGGGGCAAATAAATGTAACACAGCTTCAGAGGGTCGTGTAAAACTGTGGGCAGACAAAGTTGGAAGTGCGACATCCCAATTACCGAAACTGTGCTCACTGCCACCTGCCACCAACAAAATCAGACACACCAGATACACTTCTTCATAGCGTCTATAAGAATGAAAACTCAAGATTCCTACTACCTACAACTTTGCCAGAGAATACTGAAATTGCCCCGCTGGAAATTTGTTACATATAAATATCGTTATTTGAACTTTAAGATAAGAGAACCTAGGGTCGTGGAATTCAAAAAAATTAAGATAATGTGTAGCCCCTTCATGTGCAAATGAAACCACTCAAAATCCAACAAACAATTATTTAAATTTGTTTACAATGTTATGTAGTACCAGTCAATGTTACTTTCTGTAAAATTTTACAATTGACATCTTGGTTGTTCTGGTGAATCTGATACAATGTCTCTTTCCAATCCGGAGCTCTTCAAGGGATGTTGGGGTTTCACTTTCTTGAACTGGAGCTCTTCGTGTTGTTCCCTGTATCCAGGAAGAAGATAGATTGCTTGTGTGACATCACTCCAGCTGATCCAGAATTCAAATAGTGATATTTATATCCAGTAGATACCCAGAAAAGAATAAGGCAGTATCAACAAAATAAGATAAAAACAATAAGAAATTAAATCTCTAGATTCTCCCCAAATAGACAAAATTTTCCTTTTAAATTAAGGTAGCAACTATAGGCACTACAAGATAAACCTGAGGTGAAATCAGTCATATCCAGAATATGTCAAAATTCTTGAGATATTTTAATTAAAACTTTTTCAAATGAATTTTAGACCTGTCTGGATTTCTATTTTAAAGAATTACACCCTTTTCAACATTCTTCTCCTCGAAAAGATAATAATTGATGGAGTCGAGCAGAAAATGGCTATACAGGACTCTGCCTGGATTCAATAAAGAGTTGATAAGGATGGACACACAAATTTGGTTTTCACCGACTCTATTTAGAGCAAATGGTCCAATATTCCCACACTAACAATTGATTCTGAAAACCAGAGCAGCAGTACCTATTTATTAGTCCAAAAATCTGAATTAACTTACCTCAGAAAAGCGTGGAACCACCAATCACACAAAATGGAGGCCCACAATTAGATAAAAAATTAAAATATAATATTTATATTTCAAGAATAGATAAGATAAGATTTATCAGGTAGAAACTTGACAATGATATGATAATATGCAATAATGGCAAAATATGTTGAAAAAATTAAAAGGGAGAATCTAAAAATGTAAAAGAAAAATTATAAAAATAAAAATGACTCGCCTGCTAGAGCACTGCCAGAAAAAGAGAACGTTTTAGAAACCAAACCCTATAGTAAAACAATCCTGTGTTTTTTTACACTTACTGCGTATTAACCAGATCAACCAATCAGAAAACTACACTCAAAAGACCATATTCACTTCACAATGAAAAACCATAAAAAGACCGTATACATATTGAAGAAATTTATAGTCGCCAGAATATCATCATCCATTTTATTATAGCTTAATATTATGTCCTTGTCAATATTCAGAGGTTAAACAAACTTGATACAAAATTTTAGGGTATTGCTTTTGGCAACCAGACTATTAGCCGTTCAATAAATGTTTATTTATGCTTATTTATATTAATTTAACGAGAAAAGTTGTCGAGATGTTTTTATGGAGACGATTTTTTTTTCGTTGCTGATATTTCTGTTTATTTTGAACTATCTCAAGTGCACGGAAAATGCAAAATTCCACTGCTATCAGCCTATATTGGGTATTAGCTATAACTATAAGGTTCTATCACTTCTAGGCACTGTGATTATTCACTGTAAGACAATTAAGGAAAAATCGAATTTCCATTCAATGAATGTCGCTAGCTACAGACCTGTTTTCTACCTATTACTGAAGCACAAGCATAAAGAAGGAGAGAACAACATTGAAATTCTAAAACTTGAAACTTGAAGAACATTGAACAATATTGAAATAATCTGATTAAATATAATTTTTATGATTTTCAATGCAAATACAAGTATAAAAGTATTGTCCTTTTTTTTTCTTTGTTTGATGCACTTCTAATTGCATTTGAAGGCCCTAGCAGATAGTTAAAAATAAGCCCACTACCTAAATCTTCTAAGCAAGGCGCTTCTTTCTAAAGATCTTGATAACTTGGATCGCAAACTCTGAATACAGCATTAGCTTTTATGTTATTATAAAATTTATTTTCCTCTTTCCATGAATCGATTTTTTAAATAGATCTTCAAATTTTAGGCACACTTTCCATGTTCGAGGGTCTCAAAATACCCCGTGCTCATGCGCCAGTGGGTATTACTGGAAGCAGTTCCGGAAGCGAAGAGGGTAACCTCATCAGCGATACGCTTCCTTCTGATTATCCTTCCGAGTCGCATTCTGAAGTTGAAGAAACCCGATCTCTACCAGTAAGTCCATAAAATTTGATGGTTTCAAAGTTTTCAATATACTCTGCTTCAGGTTTCTTCGGCTGGTAGTTTTGAAAACAGAGCCTTCATCCAAGACCATGGAAGCTTCTTCGGCTCAGAAGGCTACGGCCATACTCAAGAGCAACATATTCAAAACGCCGCCATGGCCCATTTGGAAACAGTTCCTAGATTACCATTAGCAGTGAAAGCTGAGCAACCAAACTTTGACGTTCAAATGCGAGTGAAACGGGCTCCACCTTCACCGACAAGCCTCTCATTTTCCGACACAGAGAGTATGAGAACTGAGAGAAATCTCTCAACAATTCCAGAACAACTGGAAGATATGAGCGTTAGGTCAGTGTCTCCACCTATTAATGAAAGAACACACTTTACTTACGTCCCAGAATTGCATCATCCTCCAAAGCATATTCAACCAGCACCAACTTATAACAGGATACTTAGAAAACAACAGGAAATGGCCGATGCAAGATCCATAGCTTCTCTAAATACAGAAATGACTGACACTCATAGTGTAACAGAAACAATTGATGATTCGCATCATATCTTTGTAGCTTCAGTGCCTCCACCCCCACCGCCAATTATACCCAAACAAGAATACATCATGGAAATGGAACATCCTGGTAAATTAGAACCTCCTATAGCACCTGTTCATAAGCCTGAAATAACTTCACATGTGGTTGATGATGTATTCCTGAGAACTATAACAGAAAAGAAAACTATTGAGGACATTGAAAGGCATAAAAGATTAATCACTGAGTTCCATTCTCGTACTAAACCACCACCAGTACCACCAATAGACACTACCAGGTGGGATGTAACAATTAAAAATTATCCTGTTCAAGTGGATCCTCCAGAATGGGAAGACTTTTCAGATATTTCATCAGCTTCAGGATTAACTTTAACGTCCAATTATGATAGGGCAGCTCTACATTTGCCTCCTCAACCACAAATCAATGACAATAAGTTACCATTAAATGCACCAGAGTTAGTCAGTAATATTGGTTCGCAGCCACATAGACAGTTGGTTACCAGTGATTTGACAACAAGACAGAGGTAATCATTCGACCGTCTTCCATTGAATTTTAGCTATATCAATAATTTTTTTGCAGGGACTCCCTACATACAGCTGATGCAAGAGAAGAAAACTTCCTTTCCACGTTCAATATACCATTAGAAAATTCACAAGTACCAAACTGGAACGTTTTGATTAGAGTTCTACAGCCTACAGAGCAAGAAGAAGAAGGTATAAATGATATTGAAAATGTTTTTTGAAGTTCTAAAACGCGTATTAAATGAAAATGCTGGTCAATCGGAGAGATGTTAATTGAATTTATGGCACGAGAATATGTTCAAATTGACCATAAAAAAATGCATTCCGCAAATACACAATGGAACATCTATATTTACTTAACATTGTTAGAAAAGCTAGCAAATCATGCCTAATTGTATGTTCAAATTTAATATTAGATAATATTTTCTAGGTCCTGTCATTGAAAGCGCTGAAACTTTCAACTCCCAACTAACTCTTAGCGACAAAATGAAATGGAGACAAATTATTACGACAGAGTCGACTTTACGAACTCTTCTTACTGAAGCTGTAGTAAAAGAAGACTTTGAGAAAATCCGAAAGGATCAACGATACGAGAAAATATTCGAACCACCAAAGTGGGACGTGATTATTAGAATTCTGACTCCGGTGAGGCCGAATATATTTGTTGTTTGAATGTTTTTAATAAATTTTATTTATTTTAGATCGACAAACAACCTAAATCTAGATTTAGGAAGAAGAGTGACTGGGATAACAGAAGCCGACGTAGCAGCTTGCCAACCTTATACGAATACGATTCAGATGGCGGAAGCAGTGTAAAAACTTTAACAAGAGAACCTATGGTTTATCCGTCTATGCCTAGAAGGTATGAAATTATTCCTCTCAAATCTAAATAAAATATTTAACAGAAAATCTAATTGCAGATCTTCAAGATCAAGTTATAAAAGCGAAGCTGATCTCAGGTCAATGTCAGAAATGACCGTTGACTTTGCAAGACCAGATCATTTTGATAGTCAATCAGAAGCTTCAAGTTACTACCCTGACAGGCGATACTATGAAGATTCTGAAGTTGATGGTGGATCGATGCATGGAAGGTCATTGGCTAGATCTTTGAGTCAACCCAGTTTGGCTAGATCTGCTAGTGAATTTACAGAAAGGTAGGAAATATTGTTATTTTTGAGATATTTCGTACATAAATATGAAAAATTAACACTCCACATAATAATTATTATCATTGGAGTGTATATCCAACCCGACAGAAACTAGATATCGTGTTCCCTTGATATTATATTCAATATCGCAGTAGGTACGTAGTATATCACACAAAATATGAAGTTTTCATTATTATACATTGCGCAGACTACATTTTGCTAATTTTACTTTGGACTTTGGGGACGATATTGTGGGTTTCAGAGCGATGAAAGTAATTTATTTCGTCTAAATGTGTGGGTGAGAGCTTGGGAAAGAAGTTTCTCGTAGCATCGAGAAAGTTATTGGAATACATTATTTTAAAACTTCTATTTATGCAGGTTTCGAGCGCAGACTAAAAAATAATTTAAAAGCGATGGCTTTTGAGCTTGTAATTCAAATAACTGAGTCAACAGCCTAAGAATTACAACCTTGTGAGCAGCAAAAACTTACTTTTGAATCATTAAACTTATTGCTCTACAGGGGAAATAAAATTTGGGAAGGGCCATTATTACAATCGATATGATCTGTGTATTGTGTTCTCTCAATGGAATACAATTATGTAATCTGAAATTCTTATAGCTGTTATTTATGTGGGTTTATAGAAGGGATAAGCCTCACTATCGATTGGCGATCTATCAATTATCCGATTATTCGCGGTAAAATTCAATTCGCGAATTTTCTAGGCAGTAGGAAATGTTGCAAGAATATGCACAATTTCCTCTACTGGTGAGATTTATTGTACTGCGCCCTTCCTTAAAGCTGTTCGCCTCAAACAGCTTTTCCTCATTGCATCCAAGACGAAGTATCGCCTCTATATTGTCATCCGTTCCACGTGTACAAACTTCGGCATGGCGTAAAATGTTGATCTTCCTAACGAGCCTGATGGTCCTTTCCACGATCTTTGTAATTTGGAGCTAAGTCCCCGGTTCGCTGTGTCTGGAAAAACCACACAACGTTGCCCTTATTGAAGATATTCAATCAATGGCTGGTGTGTTTCTAGTCTCATTTTCATTATCTTGGTGCTCAGACGGTAGCTGTTCCAGGAAAATTCGTGAACTTTGCTTAAACTGGAATTACAGCTTCATCTTCATCGGCTGGTGGGCTAACAAACGAAAGAATTACACCAGGATTCATTTATTTTCCATCAATTTTTTCCGTACTTCGAACTCTAAATTCCTGCCCTGAACAGTATGAAGTTCCATCGGTACCCCGTGTCTAACAATGACCTCCGATTCCCGAATCTGTTGGACAAAAACGACTTGCAAGACCCACTGCAATTCTCTTACAACGGGGACGAGACAAGTACTACTGCTTCATTTTTCCGCTAGAACGTGTCTTCGAAGCATAAAAGTTGCATCATTTTGCACCATCCTTCAACATTCCTGAGACAGTTGATATTGATATCAATTTCTTACTCGAGCAAACGATGACTATAAAGATGCCAGTACTTCAACAACTGTACAGTTCACTAGTTATCTACTAGACTTTTACCATTCCGACTTGTAGAATACCATACCTAGGTTCGTTCAGCAAGATTGAACGGTTTGAATTTGTATTATCTCTTCTTTTAACAAATCTTCTGAAAAATTAAATAAAAAAACAAATAGGACCTACGTTGTCGAAACTTACTCAATTTCACTTACTTGACATACGCCCGATATTAGCAAAATTGGGGAAATTTAAGCGAAGTTGTGATATGTAAAATAAACGAAAAATTTGTGAAACGTCTAATTTATTATGGAAGAAAATCGTACCGTTCTCGACCTGGAACTCACGAGGGGGAAGAGCACGGCAGAGAAACCCTCGATCTAACATTCCTCAAAAATCAAAACATACTGTGTCATTCTATTAAATAATTGTGAGTCAATAAAAGTTTAAATTAGGTACTGACCCCGTTCTTGTGCTAAAATTTTAATTCCACACACTGCATTCAATCAACACTACATATATTCAATACTGAAGAGTTTCACCAGCAGGTACTGAGGTCCCGTACGGCAGGCTACTCAGCTATAGTTGTTATTTTGAGACAATATCTCTAGATTGATTATTTCAATTTGTTTGCCAGGATATTCGCTCGTCAGGGTAGGGAAGTGTTATTAGAATCAACAAGGCCCTAATGCAGGTTCTGAATACCAAAAATTAAAATTCCAGCACAAAAGACAGCACATAATTTCTTAGGTTTTTCTAATTTACTTTTTATCTGCTTTGTTCGTAGCATGAAACGATTTTTGTTAAATACATGGACAATGCACATGTTATAAAAAAAAATATTTATTCAACTGACCTGTGAATGCTTCTTATAACACACAAATTAATCACAAATTGGATTGAACAATCAGTTTAATCTATATATATATAAAAATACAAAATAAAAATTGAATAATGAACAATGGCGGACAAACGGTCTAAGGGACAAGCTTCTTCTCTAGTCTCCCATTCTCTTCTCTACCCTTCATAACTTTTTTCGTGGCGTGCCGCCGTTTCCATCAATTTCACAGCACATACAAGGTTGCAACATTTACCATTTGCTTTTTTTTATAGTAAACGTTTTTTAAAAAGTTAGGATTTGAAAAAATAATATTTCAAATACTTAGGCGGTTTTCCTCAGACTGTTCTATATACGAGTGGTTGTCATCTCGCAGGCACAAAGAATACCATTGCAATCGACATCGTTGGACCAAAGCCGAACATTCTTCCAGCCATGTCACCCCCTTATACGTTTGCGCAAAATGTCCATTTGGTTTTGATCATTTTGTTCTTTATCGCAGTCTCCATTCGTTAAGTCATCCTGAGTATTAGTATCAGTTCCGGTATGTTTACTTAGATATCCCATATATTGAACGAGTTTTTGACTACTTACTTCTTTTTCTACTTGCTTTTGGCAAAATTTGCAAGAGTTGGAAATACATGGTATTTGTGATAGGATGTCGGCGTTGGCATGACTCTTTCCTTCGCCATGTTTGATTAAGAAGTCGTGAATTTGAAATTTGTCCAACCAAGGCGACCTTCTAGGTTTTTAGAATCTAGCAGCCAATGCAAGGCAGAATGGTCGGTTCTTACCAGAAACTTCCTTTCATGGAGAAAACTGTGGTAATACGCAATAAATCTTATTACATCCAGAAGCTCCTTCCAAGTGAAATAACAATTCATCACCGCGTTTTCGAGGGAATATCTAAAATATCCGTTAACTCTGTCTACCATTTTGAATTTACGAGAAATCACCGCTTTGCAATGCGTCAGTGTCTAGCACAAACGGTCCCCCTTTAATGGGATACCTTCACCAAAGACTGTTGACATTCTGGCAACCAATTAAAGTATGCGTTCTTCTCAGTAAGTTGGTGTGATGGCTTGCCAATGTTTTCAAAACCATTGACAAACCAGTTGCTAGTAACTGCCGAGTTCTCGAATTCTTTGCGATCCTTTCAATATCTTGCTTCTTTGTTTCCGTTTTTCCTGTCTTCCTAACTAACTATCCGAATATTAACTTCTTCGCGTTCAATTCATCACCATTTAATTCTTGAACTTCATTGATTTCAAATACGGGGGACTCTTGCACATATGTGCAAAATATCCCCAACTTGTGAGATTTTGAGATTTATAACACCATATTTGTTACATAAAGTCCTCCGTAGTAAATGGAGCTTCTTGATTTAAGGCTGCAGAAATATTTTTAACAGTTATTTGTATACCAAGGCCGCGAAATGTCTTTTTAGCGTACGTACATAATCTCGAGGACGCTAAAATGTTTCGCGGTCATGGTATACACACTATTTTTTGTGTAAATTTTGTAAAGTTACATAAAAACTGGATGAATTTGACACATTTTGCACATAAGGTGTGGTGCACTGTGCCAAATAAATGAGATCATGGCGAGTTTGAAGGCTGTGGCGAACCTGAAGCAAACTTTTTTTTTTTTCAGATGGGTTGCACCCTCTCGGTACGATACTGCAAGTGAGTTTACTTCCCCCGAGGGTACTCCAAAATCTCAAAGAAGTAGTCGCATTCAACCTTTCCATTTACCTAGAACAGAAACTGAGCAGCAGTCTTCCTGGCAAGCCAGCGAGTCTAGAAGGGTAACTAGGGGTCCAGGAACTACCACTGAGGAGATGACCAGAGAATTTAGGTAGAAATTGATTCAAGTCAAAAATGAAACATTTTTATGATGAGTTTTTTATAGAAGCGAAGCCAAGACCAGTTTCATGGGTGCGAAGCCGAAAAGAGGATGGTTCGGCGGCGACAACGAAAGTGAAGCTAGTTACAAATAGTATTAGGTGAAGACATATTCCATTTATATTTTAAATTTTAATATTTTAATTGCCATCACGTCCTCTACTTAAGTAAATGTAAGTATTTTAATATAAAATATATTCCTAAATATCGTGCTAGTTTCAGATTCTACCTAGGTATTGTTATGTTGCTCTAACGTCTATAAGACGCGAGTTCACTATCTAAAATTACTTCTCAAAAAGCAACGTAACAGTATTTATTCTGGAATTTATATTACGAAATTATAAAAGAAAGATGAAGAGATTCCAGTTCTTTCAAATTCAGTATGAAAGTAGCAAATCTATTTTGAAATTGATTCTTTCGTACCTATGTGTATTATATTTATAAAATAAATTGATCACGGCATATCAGACATAAATGAAAAGGTGTCAAAATATGTTTTCGTCAACTAGGATTTGAATCTGGGACCTACTCCAATACAGTATTGAATAGATTTTTTTTTTAAGCCATAATCTTTAAAAATTAGAAATAACATGTATTTTTGAGTTGCTTAATTGTGAAGGTATATATTGAAATTGCCTTATAGGTGAGTAAATATATTGGAATTTGTTTAGGGTTGAAACCACATTGTACTTAGTATAAACATTATCGTAACTAGCTGTGATAACCATTTGTACTTAAGAAACAAATGGCTAAGTAGCAATATTTACTGGCTTACTTTTAAACCTAATCCTTACCCGCTTTTTCACTTTTATGTAATATTCAAAACTGAAGAATTGGGTAAATATTTTTCCTACTATATTTTCTTTTCTTCTTATGTATTATAAGATAAAATGCGGCAGGTGCCATACTATAGTCAGTTATATAACGAAATGACATAATAATAAAAAATATATTATAAAATGCAAAAATAATAAGGGATATACCGAGAGACATCCAAACCATATAGCTGCCGCTTAATGTATCTTTGCTCAATTTGCCTATATTTCAAATGGGGGAAATGGTGATGGGGAATCCAAAGCTTTTATATTTCGTTCTAACTAATTAATTTAATGTAGTAATAATTTTAGTGAGAATAAGTGATTTTTTTGTAAAGTTTAACTATTAACGAAAATAATATTATTCTGTAATTTTTTGGAAAAAATAAATAAAAATATATTGGCAATAAAATAAACGCTTCAATTTTGTAAAAACTTGTATTGTTTTCTTTGCTTCGATTGTAAGGGGGTACTTGCTGATTATCACCACAATGATAAGACTTGACTCTGTAACCGTTCAAGTAAATTTATAAAGTGTTTTCATTCGGGCTCAATGGCCGTCGTAAGTTGGAATTTCTTCCTGACGTTTCGCTAGCACGCGTGGCAAGCATCTTCAGAGGTGCTTCTATGTCCGATTCTGATAGCAGACTAAGCAGACTGACGCGTTCCCGACCGCAAGTTGTATTTAGGTGTGAGTGGTTGTAGTGGGGGAGGGGCGGGGCTTCGCATCACGTGGCTAATATGAACTTTCTCTGGATCTTTCTTGCGTTTTCGAGGATCGGGTCCAAATTTGGTTAAGTTTTGGTGTTTCTTCTTTCCTGTTGAAGTTCTCCGTATGTTTGTGGATTTCTATAGCTTCACGTACAAGACGATTGTGGTATCCGGAAGTCGGTGCAAGAAACTTGACCTCACCAGATAGTATTTCGTGATTCCCTTCACTGAGCGCATGTGCCGCTACTGCCGATTTTTCCAATTTTCCTAGTCTGCAGTTTCTTTTGTGCTCGTTGATAATGGTTCCCATGAATCTTTTTGTTGTTCCTATTATATACCTTACCACATGTGCATGATATACGAGAGACTCCAGCGCTTGACAGTGGGTTCCTCTTATCCTTGGCTGATCTGATTGATTGCTGATCGTTTTTATGTTGTGTTTCTTCAAGACTTTCCCTATCCTGTCTGTCACCCGAGAAATAAAAGGCAGATATGCATTATAGTCTAAGATCCAGTGAATTTTTTTTCGTAGAAAGTTGCCGATGAACAATTTTTTGCTTAAACGATGTAGTATTATCCCCCGAGATCGAAAACCATAGTCTGGCAGCATGTAGTGGGGAAGTTTGGGTTAGGCATAATTAATAGGTCATTAAAAAATTCACGAAATCCGAAATACTTGCCGATGGTCAATTTTTGCGGCATATCATTCAAAAATGTTCCATTGACAAGGCTGTAATAATGCCAGACGATTTTCACGGGTTTAAAGCCTTGCCAGACGCTCCCAGATTGCAGAAAAAAATATTAAATTTGCGAAATACTTGCTGAAACCTTTTTTTTAAATTTATCAGAAAAAAATTGCAAATCGAACGGAAATATTGTTACGACGAGGTTGTAGAGCGAGTCGTGGTAACCATACGAGTGCTATAGTGAGCGTTACCGTACGCATCAAAACATTCTGCCGCCCAATCTAGCCATATCCCGGAAATCTGACCAATCAAATTCAACGTGGCTATTTTGAGCGGCATAATGTTACTACATGGGCTAGATCAGGGGTCAGAATGTCGGGACGGCCTGTCGCACTTGTCCGTTGTGAATATATAAAAGCGGTACACACACGACCGGCCGCATTGTCGCATCTATCGGAACGGTCGTACTGGCCGCGACCATCGAAAGACTACCTTTAGAAGTGTCGCATGTTTTGTTTATTTCCCGCTCATTGCTCTATTGAAATTTATTCGAAGACATTCTAGTATTTATTTATGATGGAGATGAATGCGTGAAAACTACCCACAACGTTTGTTTATTCTATGTAGTGTGATTGAAAACACTTATCGTGCAAACTTGTTATCCGAATATTCGAATACTCCAAGCTATAGTGCCGAATCAAGGTAGTTATTTGCTTAGCTAACTTATGGAGAGAATGTCCAGTCAAAAGATTTTTATATGCCATTTGCAGTTGCAAATCAAAACATGACTGAATATGTGGATGAACGTCCTGAAAATTTCACCATTGTTAACCTAAATACCTAATAGTTTAATATAGGATGGTAATATTGAAAATCGCCAACTATTAAGCGACCTTCAACAAGAGGAAAACACTAGGGAAGTTTTTTTTTTGCCTCACTTATCAATTTGATGAAGAAAAATCATACACAATTTGGCACTACTGCCCAAAGTTCTAGAAGATTTATGTCAAGACTTAGTTCAATTAAAACGTAAAATGCAATGGAAACTTTTTTAAATAAAGCTGGAAGGAAATTGTACAAAAACGTGTAGTCTTTGAAAAATTTAGAACTTACTTAAATTTTAATTATTAGGTATTCAGATTTTGCAAAATCTAAATTTATTAACTCCTTATATCCAAAATGGATATTTTTCTTAATTCCTCTGTTTCAATCAAAAAACTAACAATTTAATCGATATATTTATGGAAAAAATCCATAGGGAACACAAATAAAGTCTAAATTTCTGAATTGTATAACACGTACAAAATACAGTTATAGATTCTTCAACATCAAACATTGTTTGTTAAATTTAATACTAATGCTCTATCGCATGTAACATTCTGACCCTGAATCTAGCCCATGCAATAATATTCTGATCCTTTAAATAGCGCCATCATCGTCCCGACATTCTGACCCTTGATGCAGCGCATGTAGTAACATTATGCCACCTAAAATAGCCAGATCGAATTTGATTGGTCAGGTTTCCGGGCTATGGCTAGATTGGGTGGCAGAGTGTGATTTACAAAATTTTTGATTTTTCACAACAGATTATTTGGTGACATTAAAGCTCAAGGCTGGAAGAAACTATTTTCTCAACAAAGACTTTAAGCAACGCTGCAATCAGCTGTCAGCAAATGCTGTCATCAGCATCAGGTATCAGTTTTACTTTTAATATTCATAAATAAAAAATGAGTTAACCAATGAGCCTATTAAATTACTAGTGATATAAGGAGCTCATTTCATAGCTAGTACGATAATACAACTTATAACGTGACTCAAATAGTAGTGTAGTCAATCTAGGCAAGTTTATGCAGGTGAGGTAGAAAAAATTAGTAACAAAGTGATCTCTGCGGAAATGAGTAGTCAATACGGTCCTAATTAATCCTTGAAAAATCGCACTTTGTCGCACTGGTGGAACTTGGAAAAAAATGGCCGCCATCTTGATTTTTTTCGAATTTATTGAATATTCTGTAAAGTATGCATTATATCAAAAAAACTCAAGAAAACTTTTTTGTGCAGAATAAAAAGTGACGTATAATAAAAGAAATTTTATTACTATTAGTTGGAAAACAAAAAAGTTATAGGAATTTAATTTATTTAAAAATCTGGAAATTTCTGAACCTTAGGTAAAATCGCGAAATGTATGCATTTTTCTAATAAAACATAAGAATACCTTTTAGTGGAGGATTATAGATACCTATATTGAGATAAAAAAAAACATCACTAATTATCGAAAAGTTTGGTGTCAAATATTTAAAGCATGGTCTCAAGTTACCAGTCTTCCTCGTCCACTACTGGGAAGGTTTAGTGTTTTTTTCATACACCTTAAAGTATATAATTAAATTTCTTTGAATTACTTAGTGTTTATCCAGACAGTACACAGACGTCCCTAAGATGTCCACAAACGACATTCAAGACGTCTTTTAGACGTCTGCTTACGTCTTCAAGGCGTCTTAAAGACATCTTAAGTACGTCGTATGTTACAAAACCCAACGTCTTTCAGACGTCTGCCTAAAGACGTCTTCAGGACTAATATTTTATTATTATTACTCATTTTATAACTTTCAATTTTTGTCTATTCCAAAAACTAGGGTCTTAAATTCTTGATTTCTTTTAAACAAAAACATAAGAAAAATTCATTTTGGAAGAAAACCAGGACAGGAGACAGGACTGAAAATTAAAAAACAAATCAAGAGCCTGAAATTCTAAAATACAGGAATAATGAGAATTTAAGAACTTTGAAAAAAAAAAATTCAACAGCCAAAAGAAAATTAAGAATTTAAAATAAAGAAGTAAGGAAAAATCGAGAGCCTGGAATAGAAAAAATTATTAAAGATTTTCTTATTATTTGTTACTCATTTTATAACTTTCAATTTTTATCTATCCCAAGCGTTAGGCTCTCTGAAATAATTCTGAGGCTTGTCTAAAGTGTTATAACTTGGCTTGAAGAGTTCTGGAACATTCTAGAAGGTTTTCAGTAATTTCTAAATTGGGAAATCAGCTCCTTTGAAGTATCCATTTTAAATTTCAAAATATTCTGACAGATTTTTAAGTATTTTAGAGCCCTATTGAAGTTCCAAAGTGAAGTTGAATTGGTTTGAAAGCATTCTAAAAGATTTCCAGTTCTAAATTGAATCGTAATTGTACTAAAATATCTCTGAAGTTTCTAAATTGTTCCAAAATGCTCCATTTTAATAATGGTTCTGAAGTTTCCAAAATGTTTTGAAGCGCTACAGAATGCTTTTGGAAATTATGAATTGAATTTTAAGTTTTGAACTTTTGAAAAGGCTTATTATTAAAGTTCTAAAGTGTTCTGTAGCATTCTAAATGGTTTCAAGTAACTTCTAAAATTGTATGAAAAACGATTTATGTAGGAAATTTTCGTAAGCATCTTAAATACGTTCTTACGATGTCCACCAAACGATATTCAAGATGTCTTGCTTACACCTTTAAAGCGTCTGAAAGACATCTTGAAGACGTCGTATGTTACAAAACCCAACGCTTTTCAGATGTCTGCCTATAAAGACGCCTTTAGTATTGTAAAGACGTTTTCAACGAAATTTCTGAAAGAAGTCTTTGAATCTCTTCTGAATACATAAACCATTATTCACTTTCAGGCCTGGTTGTACGAAATAGTGTGGCTCAGTTGTCCTTAAAATGTGAATTTAGGACATCTTATTATGGAAGTTTTTAGACGTTTTTTTTTGTCTTCAGACGTTCAGATGTAATGTAGAATGCAGACTTAAAAAAGACGTCTTTAAGACTTTGTGTGCTGTCTGAGTCTGGGTAGTTCCTTGTCCAAAAAAAAATATTTATTTGAGCTTTTTTCAGATGTTTTGAAAAATTCCATGTTGCCAAATGAAATAAATGTCAATAACTTTTTTATTTTCCAGCTAATGGTCTTGATATTTATTTCAATATAGATAACTTTTGATTCTCCACAAAAAAGTTCTATTGAGTTTTTTTGATATAATGCATACTTTACGAAATATTCAA